AGCAGACTTCAAATTCATTATCAGCTCAAACAGCTGCACACAGTTCTGCCTATGAATAACTATGAACTATGTTGAAATGTCTCTTATGAACTTAAGGCTGGTTTGTTCGTACTCCAGACTTCTCCTGGTAACTCGGCCTAGAGTATTACGATTCGTCTTCTGTAAAGAAATCCTGTGTGCTTAAAGTTGTTTCCTGTAATGAAACTCTATAGCATCTTTCATTCCCCTCTCCCTGTCTGGTAAGAACCCACATTTGTGGTCTGCACACCTCCTGGTACGGTGAACCATGTGGAAAACATACAGTGTATTCAGTATCTTAATGGGGCTTCAATGTCGTATTCAGAGCTAAGTGCACCTCTCTTCACAGCTGCTTTTTTTTGTCACACTATGGTAAATTCAGGTCAAGCAGTTTAAAATGAACTGGTCTTGTTCTGTGTAGATGGACCAGTCAGGGTGTAGTGCATGCTGCACACTGGAGGGACACAGTGGGTCTGTAATTAATATTATCCATTGCACTTGTTTACCCTCCTGGGAAACTGTTCACCCTGTTTTAGTGCTACATTACGCTCAAGCTTGTTTTTGGACCTGTTATCTTCCGCTGACATGTGGGATTCAGTATAATTTTCCCATTGGCACATGTGGAAGCTTTGCGCCAATCTTTGTTTGCTTCTTCTGTTGGTGACAATCTTTTGCTCACATTTAGCTGATCTACACATTTCCAGAAGACTAATTTTAATTGGTTTGGGAAGTGCTCGGGTCCTATGTCATATGGCATATAGTCTAGCAATGCAATCAGGCCTACCATGGGTATGTCATACAAGTGCGCATATTATTACGCAACAGCACTGCAAAACTAAATGTGTGTGTTATGTGGAAAAAAAAAAAAAATCAAGACTTGCAAGGTCTGCAAAGTGTCTACGTTTCAAAATATCTTGACTTCTGGTGTTTTTGTGGTCCAAAACTTCATTTGTCACAATGTCCAAATTCACCAAGAAAGCATTTTTAGCATGTTAGTGGTATGGACCTGACATCTTAAACTCGATGCATGCAGTTTGTATTCATTTGAAGTCTTAGTCTGTGTTAATGTTCAGTCATTAGATTTCCTGTTAAAGCCACTGTGTAGATCAGATTTTTGCTGCCATCCAGTGGTGGTATGAACAGATGCTGAGGTAATCAGCCATGTGCACTGACACATCCAGCATTGAGCTGAAACCAACATGGATTGCTACCATTTCTTACAAGAATTTTCCACAATCTCAAAAATTTATTGCCTCAGTTCTGATCTGTTCTGCACATCTTCTCTGTAGGTGCTGATATTGTTGGCATTAACTGCCACTTTGACCCAGAGACTTGTGTGAAGACTGTGAAACTGATGAAGGAGGGTGTGGAGAAGGCTGGGCTGAAGGCTCACTACATGTCCCAGCCACTGGCCTTTCATACTCCGGACTGCGGCTGCCAGGGATTCATCGACCTGCCGGAATTCCCGTTTGGTCATTACCCTACTTTAAAAAAAAATAAAAAAATTTAAAATTCTCAATCCACATAAAAAAATTTTTTTTAAGAAATCCTCAAAAATAAACTCCTCTTCCAACAGGTCTGGAGCCAAGGATCCTGACCAGGATGGACATGCATAAATATGCCCGGGAAGCATATAATGCTGGGATTCGCTACATTGGAGGCTGCTGCGGATTTGAACCGTATCACATCCGTGCCTTGGCTGAGGAGCTGGAAGCTGAGCGAGGTTTTCTTCCTGCTGGATCTGAGAAGCATGGCAGCTGGGGTAGTGGCCTATCATTGCACACCAAGCCTTGGGTTAGAGCTAGGTAGATGTTATTTCAGTTTTCTCAAAGCACCTCAAGATTATTGCCACTGTTTTGTTTTCAGGACAGCTTGCCATTTCTCTTTTTAGGGCCCGCCGTGACTACTGGGAGAAGCTGAAGCCCGCCTCTGGCCGCCCCTTCTGCCCCTCCATGTCCACACCTGATAGCTGGGGAGTCACCAAAGGCCACGCTGACCTGATGCAGCAAAAGGAGGCTACCTCCAAGGAGCAGCTGGAGGCTCTGTTTGACAAGGCCAGCCAAGGCCACTGAGCTCCTGTCTGAGGCCTTTGACAAGGAGAAGCAACGGGGTGGCGTGAGAAGGCATACTCACACATTCCCCAAAGTTTATGTACCAAAAAAGATTGAAATGCTGAAGTTCTTTCTTTTTTAGGACCATTTTTACTATGTGAAAGACTGGCATCATATGCTTAACCTTTGAAACTGGCTTTCCAGACTGAGCCTTCAGTGTTATTATGACCATCACAACTGTTTAAAGAAAAAAAGTGAAATTACTGTATTACAAATGTACAGTTGTTTGTGAAAGCACCCAAGTAATGTCACAATGATGTGGGCAGCAATAAACGACAAACGGCAACAAAGAAATCAGCACTGGTGGTTTTGTTCCTTGGAAGGGTCATTTAGACTACGTCCACACTAGCCCGGATAGGGGGAATCGCCATCTCAGGGTGGATGGGAGGCCAAAACGGAGAGAAAACAATGAGTTTTCAAACGAAAATGCATTAATATGGACATAGCCTTACCTATAAAAGTCAAACTTCAGGAAATGGTGTGTTGCTTATCACCTAAAATAGGTTTTGTTTTTGTCGCACAGATGCTCAACTGGATTGAGGTCTGAAGAGTTCGGAGGCCCAGTCAATCCTTAAATTAATTGTTGTTCATCCATTCCTAAACCTTTGGGTTTTTTTTGTTTTTGTTTTTTTTTTGTTTGTTTGTTTTTGTGGCAGGACATATAGCCTGCTGAAAGATTCCACAGCCATCAGGGAGTACAATTTCCATAAAAAGGGTGTACATGGTCTGCAAGTAACATCCACGTGGATGGCAGGACCCAAGGTTTCCCAGCAGAACATTACCCAAAGCATCACACTGCCACTGCTGGTTTGCCTTCTTCCCATAGTGCAAATTTAATGTCTGAAGTTGCTATGTTGCAATTAAAGTGCTTTTTCACCCTTTTTGATGCGCACATAAATATTTGGAATCAGACTTTGAAGTAAAATTAAGTTTTATCAGTTTGGTTTAACAGTTAATAACTTCAGTACAAACCAGCAAAACAAGGACAAAGTGCAAAGTTGGTGCAGGGCTATTTATTTGTTAGATGGATGGATGGATATAGATATATATCTCAATCATCTTACTTTTCCAAGAGGATAAATGATGCAACCAGTCTCAAAGTGGAATATTACAAGTTTTTCTTTTTGTTTACACCTTAACTATGGAAATTAATGAACAGTAAATAAAGTGAGGTCAAAACAGGGAATGTGGCAGTGTACGAGAGGTACTATTTTATTGGAAAGAGAACATGCCTTAGTGGGTGAGACCAAATGTGAAACATCGAGTCAATTTAACAGATTATTACTCAGACATCAATGTGCCTATTTCCATATAAGGGAACAATCTACGAAGCTCTGTAGAGCTTATCTGTTTTTAAACCATGGAAATCCAAAGGGAGTTCTGGTTTCCTGTGTTTATTAGGCTGAAGTATTCTTTCCGCACACTGACTCAACTGATCCAAATTTTAATGGCAATAATGCATGACCTTCACCTGGTGAACTACATTGAAATGTCTTTTCAATGTGTTTTCACAAGATTTACCAGAAGAGGCAGAGAATTAAAAAGCAGGAAATGCATTTATTTTCAGATTACTTTCCCCCCTCAAATATAATTAAAAAAAATAATAAAACAACAAAACATATAAAAAATACAATCAATGCCAATATTTCTGCCGTTGATTGTATTTTACATTCATATTCACGTTTGAGATTTGCCTCATCGTACTTTGAATCCTCGCACATCTTCCATCTCAAGCTTACTGTCAACAAAGGCTGGCATATTTCTACAAATACTCTGCAGTGACTAACAGAACTGAAGTTTGCACTCAGAGGAAATCAAAAGTTGAAAAGATTCTAAATATAAGTCAAGCACCAGCAAGATTTTGGAAAAGGCCCTTAGTAAACTAACCCACTTGGTTCTACATACAGTTTTGTGTGTTTTTTCTAGTAGCTTTAAAAGCACCATAAAGGTAATCTTTGCCCCACTCTACATTTTTTTTTCTAGTCGCTAGATTGATTTTAAAGTTGCATGCGAAAATTAACTTTCTTAGAGAATAAATGGTGCATAAACCTGTTTTGACCCAGTTCGCTTACCGTACGCAGTCTGGCACTAAACACGTTCTGTACGTATTTGCGTCATGGATTTGCCCACGTGCAGATGTTTATGCTCCTCGTGCACGTATGCAAGTGAGGAAAAGAGACAGAGGAATAGAGATAAAAAAAACAAAAGAGTACAACTCGTAATGAACACTTTTTAAAAATTAAACACGTAAAGTTACTGAATTAAAAAGTAGTTTGCGTGGAACAGTTTTCTGTCTTTGTGTGCCGTTTGGTTTATTAAGCTGTTAAAAGAAACGGACTGTTATGTTGCCTTCAAGGGTTCAGGTGGAAAAAGTGTACGCGTAATAAAAACGTTAAACACTTTAATGTAATGAACAAAACATTTTAAGGATGTAGTATGTACAACTGGACTGTGTTTAAAAATATCCAAAAAATAAAAAGAATTGTGAAAAGAATAAAAGTTTGTGATAGAAAGACATGTCACGCTTAATGCATCTGATAAAATATTAGACTTTGCATTGCTTTTTAATGATAAATTGATATATTTCACGTTCGCATGGTATAAAGAGAGACTAGCGGATATAGTTAACCAGCATTAGCATATTGTACATTTTATGCATCATTAAACGTCTTTTAAAATGCATATTATTGGGAGATAAAGAGATATTTTTGTAGTTTTGTAGAGATAAAGAAATATTAGTCAACTAACTAACAATTTGCTCAAAGATCGTTTTGCATGTCAGTACGGTATCGACATTTTCTAGGAGCATCATATTTACCATTTTCATCGTGGAGATGGAATGCAACACCGGAGGGAGGGGGGGTCACCAGTTAAATCCCTCCCCGGACAAACACGCACGCACCTTCTGCTTGTAAACAGAAGCTCACACGTGACATCGAGAGCCGATGTGCGTCGCGCGACGGCATTGTCTGAGAGCGGACAAAGAGCTGCACATTCAAGACAGCGCGAGCATCGGGCAGGTGAGCGCCCAGGTGTCATGGCAACGGACATTAGCTGCCGCAATATGAAGCCGACTTCTCTCCTTCGATTAGACCGCGGTGTCCGAGTGCGTTTGGCTGCTTGAACTTCTTCATGTCGGAATCCCAAATCCGACCATTTGGAGGAGGGACAACGACGTTGGCTGCGCTTTCGGCCGCTTACACGCAACAGACAGCGGGTTAACAAAGCAAGAAAGCCTTTGTGTCATCTCTTAATCTAGCTCGTCGGTTTGTTCGCTGTAGCTCTGCCAAATCTTACTTTGTGTTTTTTTTAAACGTGGGGTCTGCTGTCGGTGGCTACGAGTAGCATTTAGCCTCGACATCAGGGAAGATTTTTTCCTCTGGCTAACGCATATCTAAGTGTCTTTTTTTACTGGCTGGATGAGATGTCATTCATCATGGAGGATAACTTAGAGTCCGGATGGGTGTCCGTCCGGCCCAAAGTCTTCGACGAAAAAGAGAGACATAAATTTGTTTTCATTGTGGCCTGGAACGACGTCGAGGGAAAGTTCGCCATAACCTGCCACAACAGAACCGTGCAGAGACGGAGCACTTTACTGGACGTCGACTGTGGCCCAATCGCTGGGCTTCCTCCCACCGGTGCCTGCGTGGCTGAAAAACACACAAAAAGTCCCGTCACGGCGAAGAAAGATGGAGTCTGCCAAGTGGGTAAAGTTAGACCGCACTCTGTCCCCAAAGGGAAACCCACAACAAATGCCAACGCAGACAGGAAGACTTTAAAAGCCGGTAGTTCAAAGTCATATGAGTGCGTAAGTCACACTTTAGGGACATGGGACGTTGTGACACCCAAGATAACGGATATGGAGATCCTGGAGCCAGTGGATGTCACGCTGTCTCCGGATGATGCAGACCCAGGTGACATCGAGGCCAGTAACCGCGAAGACTTCAGCTGGGCTGGACTGTTCTCCTTCCAGGAACTGAGAGCAGCCCACCTCCAACTATGCGCCGTCAACTCGGACCTAGAGCCTTGTTTGCCCTCTTTCCCGGAGGAGCAGTCTGGCGTGTGGACTGTCCTTTTCGGTCCGCCCGGGATGTCACAGCGGGAGACGGACGCCCTGTGCTATCAGTTGCAGGTGTACCTGGGTCATGCCCTGGACACCTGCGGCTGGAAGATCCTCTCACAGGTGCTTTTCTCAGAGAGCGACGACACCGAGGAGTACTACGAGAGTCTGAGTGAGCTGAGGCAGAAAGGCTATGAAGATGCTCTGGAGAGGGCCAAAAGACGCATGCAAGAGGTGAAGTAACTTATTCAGTTGTCATGAAGTCTGACTTGCTTTTAAATAAAAGCAGGGAATCAAGCTTTTTAGTACTTGATGATGTGAGATCTGATAAGTACACTCTTAATGGCAGCCTGACATTACATGGAAAGGTAGTTTTGGGGTTTTTTTTGTTTTTTTTTTTATAAACGGGGCAATTTTGGTATAATTTTAAGTCCATTTATAATTTTAAGGCTGCTGGTTCTCTTCCCTCCTCTTCCTTTGTCCCCCTCCCCTCCTGTGATCTACCATCTGTTGCTGCACATTCACAAGCCAGTAATATGATCTGGTCTGGCCAGACATTACACTCCAGTTGGCTGAACCATTGGAAGGGAGTTACATAGAAAAACAGGAGAACAAAAAGAGGTGGAGTTACAGGAATGATGTGTCACCACAGCTGTCGAGATTGCTTCAGTGTAATCCTACACAGATGAAGGTGTATATTTAGCCCAGCTATGTTGCTATATTTCATGTCTGTAGCCTGATGTGAGTGGCAAAGCAAGGTGAAGTGCCAGATCCTCTATAAAGGTGTAAGTTATGATCATAATTGTAGCCTCAGGAAAAAAATGTTAACCTCCAGAGTGTTTTAACTGACTGATGCACCAAACCAGTAAACAGCTGGTAATCAAGGAGCAAGGAATACTTAATTACTTTAGTGATTCATATGTGACAGGGCACATCTTCAGAGGAAACAGGAATGAGTTTTGTTTGAACTTGTTTTTATAAAAAGAGCAGCAGTCATTACATACAGCTCTCATCAGGTGTTTAAAATCTAGTCAGGGAAACAGTTGTTAGATTAATCGATAATGGAACTAAGTGAAAGATGGGGCAGCTCTTAGTAGCAGCAAAGATGACTCTTCCTTTGATGTGTAATTAGTGTTATTTGTTATTTTATCCAACACACTCATGTGGAAGAACTCCTCAGTTACTAATACATAACAATAAAATATAATCTAGCTCAAATCATAAGCTGCAGCCTCACGTTGGAACACTATAGTGTCAACAACAGATCTAATATTTACTCTGTTTTATTGGATTGTACTTGTTCCCAAGTTTCCAGGTTCAGTCATGATGAACTTTGACTTTAAGTATGCTGACCTGGTTCCAACACTTTCAGGGCTGTAGTTGGTTTAATAGCATGATGATATTGGGAGAAAAGGAGGGCATGTCATTTTACCTCAAGTAAAGTTTACGGTTTTTTGCCATAAAGATATGGTAATCTTATAGTAATGTGCTTCCGTACTCCACTAATTATGTTGCTCTATCCAAGCAACAGAAACAGAGAAAATTTTACTTTTTAATCCTTGCCAAGAATGATAATTTTCATCACATAAAACAATATTTTTAGGTTTTTTTACCTGTATAGTAAATAAATGACTTGACTGCATTACGCAGAGCCCTTTAAAATGCCAGTTTATGTCATTTTTTCTGATTTGGCATAAACACTGAATAGCCTGTCCTGATTGTTTGGTTTGTCTGGAAAAGCTTCAGACTGAAAATCACTGCTCTTAATAATTGTACTTTGACACTTTCCCAGTTTTTCCTTATCTGTGGTCTGATGCCATACGAAATCCAGCTTATTGCCAGGGGACCTGACATATTGCAAGTTAATAGTTAAAATGTAACATTTTTTTTCTTGTTCTGCGATGACAAGGATGTGAAGGGAACAAAAGGTGATGGGAGGTTAACTACAATTGTAGCGCAGAGAGATTAAAGTGAAAGCAGACGTAAAAAATCACGCTATAGTGTTTACTATAAAATCTAAGCCACAGGTATCATATAAGAGTCATTCTATCTCAGATCAGAACATTTTCTGCTCAAGCACCTCTGATTTGCCTGGAAATGTTATGGTTTAAAATTTGCACATATATAAGGCTGTGAAATTATAGCTCCATATATCAAATAATTTCAAAGGTTTTACTTGTTTATTTTTGGAAAATTGACCCACTTCCAGTATGTTTTGATCAATTTGAACATGACTAGATGAAACCTTTAAATTTTCTCTGGCCTCTCAGATACTTAAAAATTTAGTATTTCCTGAATTGTAAACTGTTATATTTGACAAAATAAACCATGTAGCCATATGTAGTCACCAAAATGAGAAAAGTATGACAATTCCTTCCATTAAAGCAAAAATATCAGTAGATTGTGCAATCGAAATTAGACTGTTGTTTATAGATGATACTCTAATTATAACAGTGAAAATAGTAGAGTTTTATAAGTCAGGTTTAGATTATAATATATTGTGAGGCAAAGACAAAAGTACTGATGTAAAGTTTTTCATTTGTACAAATAAATATAGCAAAACAATAAAGAATAATGAAAAAGGGATTAGTTGCTTGTTTCATGTGTGTAGTCCTGTATGCCCAAGTTGCCAATGTCTATATAGCGATTGGTAGTCTGAGAAAACAGTCAAGAAGGAATCCAGCAATCAACATGCTTGTCATTTGAATAAATGCAAATATATGTATCACATATATTATTGTTGTGATATATATGAAAAAGCAACATCTTTTGTAATCGTTTTCTCAGTGACGTTTAAATCTGTACAACCATTGTAAATTTTTTTGACAGTTAAACTACTCCTCTGGGTGGTTTGAAATTCAGGCCTAAATGTGTACAATAATCAAGTTTCTCTTCTTTGCTGGGCGACCTCTTGACCTTTGTATGTTGAAGGTTAACGTGGCTTCTGCATGTTTTGTGGACGCCCACAGTTTGTCTGTTATGGTGTGTCTGCATGTTTGCCTCGGGCACAGCTGTGTTGTTAGTCTGCTGTACAGTTACTGAACGGAGCAGTTTACTTCATTCACACTTATGTATAGGGGTATTTTATATTTTGTGTCACTCGCATCTTTTTAGTTGTACATAAACTGATACGTTCACAACAATTGCTGTTTTGCCTGCTGGTATTGTCTTGTTGGAGCTAAAAATGGGAACACATAGAGCTGAAGCTGTACTTTTCTGACAATTTTTTGTCAGAGCAACTCCTCAAAAATAAGTAAAATAATAGTTACAATATGCAAATTATTGATATTAAAAATGCATCTTAAACGTTGTGTTTAACCAGTTGACATTACCTCTGTTGATTACAGGTGGCATTACTATTTTCATCTATCACTACATGAAACTTTTGTGCTGAGAAAGCCAGAACCAATCAAGTTGCCTGAAAGATTTAGGCCTGAGGTCTGTTGATTGACGACTCCTGAACAGCATTCAGTTTCAAATGAGCTTTAAAATCCAGTCTCTGCTCAGTCAGGGCGTTCTCTTCCTGCCTCACATCTCAATTAAAAGGCAGAAGGGAAACTGCTTCAGCAAGACTGAGCAGATGTAGCAGCAGCAAGAGTAAGTCCTGATGACAGAGCTGGTATACTGCAGCTATACTCTAGTGCATATTACCAGGAATGTCCCTGTAATTATTATGTACTCATTTCACATTGGAAGGCCTTCTGTTTAACAGCAAGGCTTAACATAGGTTTTATGTTTATTCATTTGCAAACTGCTTTAAAACATGCATATTTATCCATAGCAGACAAGCAAACATACACACAATATACTCTTATTGTCAGGCTGATATAGAATAACAAGAGTAAGAGCAGAACACTAATAAGGCATAAGCAAATGATATGTAAACTAGTCAGAGTAATAATAAGAGGCACTTAAAAGAGAGCAATGCCTGAAATCCTGGATGGTGCCTTCAGCTGTGTGTTTGATGTCTGGGTACACAATAAAATGGACCAAGCAGGGGTTACAGTAATTTTGTCTTACAATGTGAAAGAATAATTGTTAGCTTTTAAATTTGTCAAAAAACAAAAAACTATGATCGCAGCAGTTGAGTACAGTTTAAATTAAAGTTAATAGGATTGTTCTTAAATGATGAGCTTTTGGATGCGGTGCGTGGGGATTCTAAATGCTCAACATCACACTAGGCAATATCAGACTGATGTTCAAACAAATAGTCCAGTTCATTTGTGCAGTTTTCAGTATAATTTATTTTCCCCACAGGAGCAGTAGTTCATGCTTTTATTGTGGCGTGCGTGTGTTAGACAAAGCACTTAGAGGCATAGATAATAGCGTTGTATCAATGTGTGTGATAGGGTGAGTGAGACTTGTAGTAGAAAGTGCTTTGAGTGGTCAACTTGAGTAGTAGTTATATGAATACCAGTCCATTTATTTCCCCCACAAAAAAGTCCCATTTAATTACATTATAAATGTGTAATTACGTTATACTGGTAGCATAATCTACAAGAATGTAGCATAATTTATTAGTAGATTTATATTTCATATTATAAAACTGTATCTGCAAAAAACATGGTAACAGTAACTTAAAAGTAAATGCAGTAGGGTAAATGTTGTTCCCCTTTTTTATGGGGTGAACATGGCTTTCCATTGGTGGTGTGTTGGCAGGCTGTAGGAAGCTACGAACAGCCCGTCTACCTGCAGAGAGTGGCTGTTGCCAGATGGAAGCAGTCCCCAAAATATGTGGTACAATCAGTCTGTGGGCTGCTTCAGCTTTTGATGTTTTTGACCCTTCAGTCAGCTGTGGAGATGAGTAAAGTTATAACACACAAAGAGCTGAAGTGAAATAGATATCTCTCAGTAAGGACAACTGAGCTACATGCTGTTGGGTTTTTGGAGGACTGCACAGGAGCATGATTGTGTAGGTTGACAGCACCTCTTGGTAGGCTCACTATAGACAATTAAGGACACATGTGCCGTACAATAAAATAAGCTTTAGACTTACCCCTGCATGCTACAGGCATGTCTACTAGAAAGCAACGGGGTTGTAGCTGTTAGCTCAAGTAATCTTAAGATCTGTCAGTTCACCTGCTCTTTCTTTTTTTCTGTCAGTCACCAAACAGGCCAGCAGCAGGCCAAAAAGCTTGCACAGTATACTGTTTTACTGGTCCCAGTTTAAAAAAGAAAAAAAAAGAAAAAGAAAAGCTTAACACACCTATACACCCCACACCTGACAACATTCA